TTAGCTGTAACTCCTCTAATATCTTACTTGGCCAAGGCAAACAGATTCTTGTATTTTTTTAATTGTTTCTAGTGTGGTAAATGTTAGCACACTAACCCTGTGTTAACTCTACTACAGTCTGTTAAGTTTCAAGTGACATTTCTCCCTGGTGTCAATGCAGCATCAACTAACAATACTCCCACTCCAGCTTGAATACATCATCGAAGCAAACAGCAATGCATTATAACACTAGACAAATAGCTTTAATAGGAAATGAATTGCTCAGTATCCATGCTCCAACTTTGCTTTTCCTACAGCTCAATACTTCAGTTCAAGCATGGAGGCTATGTTATGGTTAATATGAAAAATGATTAGGAGGGCTGATGACTCAATAGCATTTAATGCATTTTAATGAAAGAGCATTGGTTTAGAATAAAACATAAATGCATGCTGTTAATTCAAAGGCTGTAAGACCTCTAAAAGTGGAATACAGTGGAATGCAAGGGAACGTGGGAGGCCTTCATAGCACAGATTTGCTGTTTTTCTAAATCAGGCTAATGGATAATTTGCACAAAACCAATCTGATTCAATTATACTGCACAAGAGCTGAAGTTCACCTTCCTTACTTTTTCTTTTCAAAAACACTTTTGTTCAAAGCACAATGCCATCCCCTGAGTCTTTAACAGTACATTCCAAACTATGAACCAAAAAAAGTAGAAGTCCCCAAGATCATTATAAATGCTATTGAAATTAGTCAATGAGGAAATTTCAATGTTGCCTTGTTAGACATTCAATTCTTTTCAACAAATACTAATCAATCATTTGTTGAATAGAAAAATCCAATTTAGGACTTAAAAAACAGATTCCGGCAATTGTTTCTGTGAACGTCTGTGTTTCCTTTCATTGTTTTAACAGTTCTTTATTGTTAGATCGTTTCGTGGAGTCAATTAGTTTTGCAAACAATTCAATAAACAGTTCAGTAAAAGTGGGCACTACCAAAGCAAGGGCCAAATAAGAAAATACAAATGAAAACAAGCCAATCGTCAGAAATATATTGTACCGATACAACTCTTGGAGGTTTGTCTATACAGCAGGTTAAACAAGCAATTGTCTTTTTTGAGAAATGTATTGAAGAAATAAAATATTAACAGTTTGGTAAAGCTTTTCTTAAGTGATGAGAAAATATTGTTCACTTGGGTGACTATCAGAATACAGCTAAAAAAGTGGACAAAACCTTTCAGGATCACATAGTTATGCATTCCCAAGTAAGATGGTGGCATAACTTCCACTGTTTTTAAAGGGTCTGCAAAATCTTCAAAATCAGCTCAAATCTGTTCCTTCATGTGAAAAAATGGACAGCATTCTGTAAATTGTTCATATTTTGCTGCAATTAAGAATCAGAACTGTTTCTCCTTACATAAATCTCTGACTCTTGCGCGGCTGTATAGAACCTGTGTGTGGTTTATGCACCTTACATTGTGGGCTTTTTGTAAGCATGACTTGACCATTCCATAAAAGCTTCTTGTTCTCGTTCAGTTCTCTGCCTGAAGGCAGGTCTGACTCACAGCACTGCAATCTCCATCTCAGGTTGGCCAAGGAAGCAGGATTGGAATCTGTCCAGGCAGAAAGGGGACTGAAACCAACGCTGTTGGCACCAAATCTGATCCACAGCAGCTGTCTAGATAACTAGCCCCAAAGGAGTATAAGTTGCTGCAGTAATATCTATTTTTCCATAAGCGTTTTGGTCTGGAATAGTGATGTAAAGACTCCAATTTTCTTTCTATCACATTGGCTGACCGAGAATCTCTTCCGGTCTTTACCATCTGCTATTTCATATGTTTTGGAAGGATTTACAAGTTCAGCCTTCAATTGGTCATTAAGTTCTGGAGTGCGACTTGAACCTAGAGCTTCTGCTTCAGAGGCAGGGAAGTGGCACGGAGTAGAGTGACTGCCCTGGACATCAAGATAGTATTTAACTGAGTAACAGCATCAAGGAACCCTAGTAAAGTCAAAATTAGCGGGATGTCGTAACGATGGATCAGATGCTCTACAATGAGGATATTTTTAACTTTTAATTCCAACTTTTTTTTTAAAGGGAACTGCTACAAACCAAACAAAAAAGACTGCAGATGTAAAATCAGTGCTGTCTGGCAAAGTCCTGTGTGGGATCGAAGGCATGTGAAGTATCAAAGAAACTTAAAAAGAGAGAAAGAGAGATGTAACAAAAAGAGCTAATGAGTGGGCTGACAATCTCTCTCCACTCAACAGAAAGCCACCCCTTCCCAACATTTTTTTTGTGTTTTTTCCCTTCTAGGAATGTACAGAAGAAGGGTTATGAACTGACTGAAACCTTGGTCTGGGTGTATTAATGGAAGAAGGTGAACTAGTGGAAAAAGTTGTGTTAGTGCAATATATACTAGCCTGGGTTTGAGTACTAGAGATAGTAGGAACTGCAGATGCTGGAGAATCTGAGATAACAAGGTGTAGAGCTGGATGAACACAGCAGGCCAAGCAGCAGCAGAGGAGCAGGAAGGCTGATGTTTCAGGCCTCTGAAGAAGGGCCTAGGCCCGACACGTCAGCCTTCCTGCTCCTCTGATGCTGCTTGGCCTGCTGTGTTCATCCGCTCTACACCTTGTTATCTCTTGGGTTTGAGTACCATTGTGCTGTGAAGGTCACAGTGAAGACCCGCCCATGAGTCACCCTCTGTTGAATGTTAAAGGATTCTTTCACTTTAAGTGCTATAGTCAGCTAGCCAGCAAGTCAGTCAAAAGGAAACAGGACAGCAGACGGATGTTGGAGACAACAAGGTGCAGAGCTGGATGAACACAGCAGGCCAAGCAGCATCATAGGAGCAGAAAGGCTGACGTTTCAGGCCTAGACCCTTCATCAGAATGTTCTTGTGCTGACTGCTGTCAACTAACCTGTTTGCAAGATGATGCTAGAGTGTGGTGACATTTTGTGAGCTATCTACAGCAGATTTTAGTCTTACATATCTTATAATCAGTCTGCTCAGTGGCTGTAACACTGTATTCTGCACTCTGTTCTGCAGCCTTGATGCACTTTGTGTAGTACAATCTGCCTGTACAGCACGCAAAACAACGCTTTTCACTGTATCTCAAGTACACATGACAACAACAAATCAAACTCAAATCCAAAAGAATCAGCTCAAAAGTATTTCAACTAATTGCAAAGTCAAGAATCCCAAAATTTATGACACAACTATTTACATTCCTGCAACCCAATGGTATCAATGTGGACTTCACAAGCTTCAAAATCTCCCCTCCCCCTACCGCATCCCAAAACCAGACCAGCTCGTCCCCGTCTCCCTAACCTGTCCTTCCTCCCATCTATCCCTTCCTCCCACCTCAAGCCCCACTCCCATCTCCTACCTACTAACCTCATCCCGCCCCCTTGACCTGTCCGTCCTCCCTGGACTGACCTATCTCCTCCCTCCCTCCCCACCTACACCTACCTTTACTGGCTCCATCCCCGCCTCTTCGACCGGCCTGTCTCCTCTCCACCTATCTTCTCCTCTATCCATCTTCTATCCGCCTCCCCCTCTCTCCCTGTTTATTTCAGATCCCCCTTCCCCTCCCCCATTTCTGAAGAAGGGTCTAGGCCCGAAACGTCAGCTTTCCTGCTCCTCTAATGCTGCTTGGCCTGCTGTGTTCATCCAGCTCTACACCTTGTTGTCTCTATTTACATTCCATGATCTTTTCTCCATGAACAACCCAGAGACTGGTCCTTATATCTTTTAACTTTTGCTTTTGGATTCACTTCTTGTTCATGATCTATGCATATGTATGTTGTATGGGTTCTCTTTTTTATTGTTTATAGTAACTAATAAGCTCACTCTTTGGTTGATTTAAGAAAGCCTGGATAAATTGACTCGTTTTTAAAAAGTAAATTCATTTGGTTTGGGGAGAAAAGCAACCACAGGGAAAGATACTTTTGAATTAACCTTGTTGGGACCAACTAAGGGACTGGGTGAATAAAGAAGGGCAGCTTTTTCATCCTTCCTCACCATGGAACTTGATGATTTGGGGGCTTATCTGGGAACATATACAGCTGGTAAAGAAAATGTTTACGGTGGAAGGTAGAGTATCAATCAAGTGGCTTGATTTTCCTGGAAACTTCAGGCATCTTGAATGTAACCGGAGCTGTGCTTGTCCAGATCTTGTAAGATGTGAAGTATGATGCGTGATTTTTAATGGGCAAAATGCTATGGTAGCCCCATCCAGATTAAAACTCACTCAGCCAACTTCTCTGGTCAAGGTTCCTGGGACCTTCAGGATGAGAATCCTGCCTCCAAAAACTGCCAATCAATCAGGCAGCTGAAAGATCTTCCAATCCAGCAGTGCCACCAGGATCAGTGGTCATTGCTGGAACTGCAGGAGGTCAAGGACATGGAGTACCAATGGATGCCCTGGAATCCACATTGGTTGGGGAACCTCACTGGGCCAGGCAAGATCATGCAAAGGTGATAGAGGAGTTAGCGTAGACGGCTGAGGGAAAG